AAAACATCAGGGTATGTTTACTCGCAAATTTGAAATTATTCATCAGAGCAGACTGGTATTAATTTGTATATAACTTGATGTCGGCTTTCATTTCTCTTCGCAAGTTCCAAAAATGAAGATTTTATCTCGCTTTCAATTTAATATGGCCGACTCGTGAATAAAGCCCATGTTGCCAAGAATCGCCACCGCCACTGGCGTGCAAATGAGTAAATGTATAATCCTACCCATACCTGTATATATATATAGACTAATCCGCGCACGGTATCAGTTCTATCACGATCGTCCCCTCAATGGTAACAGCATTGTGCTGGCTATTGTTCGAGATTATCAGTTCTATCACGATCGTCCCCTCAATGGTAACAGCATTGTGCTGGCTATTGTTCGAGATTATTCGTCACGAGGCATTTGCTTTATGCACAATGGTTTCTTCATTGAAAGGTTGGGGGGGGGGGATGGTGCGTCTACAGGGCGAGTCAAAAAAAGCGAAACCCAAATGTCGGGACTATTGTTTTAGTGAAGTTCTGCATGTAGCACTTTCAAAATCTAGGACATAAAAGCCCAATTCATAAGCTTTCTTTTAGTACAAGAATGATTCAAATCACTCTAGCACTTTTCAAGTTACGGAATTTTAAACGCAACCACCGTTTTAAAGTATTGTCCACGGATCACAAAAAAACGATCACGAAAACAACATCCCTATGTGATCCAAGTGTTTTCGTTTTGCTGAAAGAACACCTACCATTTTGTGATCCGTGGACAGAATTTTAAAATTCTGAAACTTGAAAATTACATAAGTGATTTGAATGATTCTTGTGCTAAAAGAAAGGTTATGAATTGGGCTTTTATATCCTAGATTTTGGAAGTGCTACATGCAGAACTTCACTAAAACAATAGTCCCGACATTTGGGTTTCGATATTTTTTTTTACTCACCTTTACAGTGATCACGTGCCAGGCTTGTCTATAGTATAACATATAATATATTATATAATATATAATTATTGTCTATAATATTACATACCCGTTTCGTTACTATCTTTGCGAGAATACAATTCTCCCTGATTAAACTTTCAATATTCCATGCCCGTTGTTGAGTACGCTCGGGTTGTTCATGATTTTGTACTTGACTGACGCCGGTCCTGTCTCATAACAACTGGATAATATAGTGAAAATGATCACGGCCCAATAATTGCGCGGTGTTTATCTTTCTTTCATCGCAATCAAGGGTACTGGTCCATGTTAAATGATGCGCAGTGTTCGCGAAGGCAGCGAGCGCCGTTCAAAAAACACACCAAATATTCGCGCGGTGTTTATCATTTCTTTTCATCGCAAATAATTGTAAGGGCGCATGCTAAAAGATGCGAAATGTTCCTGAAGGTCGCAAGCGCAGTAAAAAAGCGTTTCAGTTCTAAATAAGTTACGTGACCCTTTATTCAAATAATTGTTCATTCAATCGCAGTTCTCCAATATTTCTGCGGAAAAAATATATTAAATCCATTTTGTACCACTTAACTATAATTGTTCCCTTTACTAAAAAGAATACAAAATACGATTCATCGTTTCGCCTACGTATAGACCAATTATGAATGCATCACTGGATGTATGTTACCATGGCAATAATTCACACCTAAGTCACGTTGCGTTGTAGAAACCCAATTGAGAGTGCAATGCCATAACAATGCGATATTTCACCGAGTCTGTGAAAGTGTCCAAAATCGATTGGGTGTCTCGACACATCGCAGCCATGTTCTTGAACGTTTTAATCATATCGGGAAGCCTTTGGATTCTACTTTGAGCCGCGCCGTCTGCTTTTAAGTGTTTATGATTTGTATAGGTGAAGGCGGACATCCGGGATTTTTTTCACATTGGCTTATCTAGCTCCCAGACCTATGTTCTTGAATCTCAATGGTTCTTGAGTCTGGAGTGCTGAATGGTGACACATAGCAACCGATGAAAACTGCTGTACCAAATGAATAGATGTTTTCATCGGATGACATCACTCCGCCCCCAACATAATCATTATATGAGAAACCCGTGCAACACCAGCAGTTGCCCATAATGCGTCAGTATACAAAGCTGGAGTTATAAGCCTAAATGCTGATTTTTTACCTTTCGATTCTGTTGTTGACACCGGAAAGCTCTTTATTAATTTTGTGTGTACAAAGGTCTGAAACAGGTTTGATCTCAACCTTCTTCCCCAGGGTGTCGAGCAGTACGCCCCCACCACTACCCGCTTTCTCACCCTAGTGTTGGATCCTTTGCATATCCAAAATGTTTTGGATACGTATGCAAATGAGGAATAGTCTGGTGCCGTCCTGTTCTTTACATCAGCGTTTGTTTTTTGTATGTGATGTCTCTTGCAAAAACAGAATCAAATCGTCGCGGCGTGAGTTACGAAAACACGATTTTTTTTTCAAAGTTAAAATGTTGCAATCTTATCCAGTCACTATGCGGTATCACGTTTCATATTAATATGAGCAAATTGGAAAATGAAAAGATTATTTTTGAGAAGGTATGGAGGTTACAATTACAATAAACGCGAAAACACGTAATACACGTTGGAAATAACAAGTACACGATATAATTCCATTTCAAGCTAATTGCGCTATCGAATCAGGATAAAGGATGCAAGTTCCTGTCCCAGGGCTTACTATTGGAAACGAGTTTGAAAATAGAGTAAGCCATGGGGACGAGGTTGGAATGATTTGTGATCTGTTGGTAATTCTCCTTATTTAAAGGACGAAATTTCCAATTATTCTCTTTGGCACTGGCACCGTTACGGCTTCTAGAATTTTACGGTAATGCTCAGCTCCTCTATATTCCCGTTATACCTCAAAATTTTAGTCTGGAACAATTCTGCTGTTTTTTTTAAATTGTACTGCTTTTCTCAAATGAAAACCGAGGCATTTAGTGAAAAGGAAAGGAAGTCTATGGCGGGAATAGATCGGGGCGGAGTGACGTCATCCGATTAAAACATCTATTTGTGTGCACACCTGATTTTATCGGTTGCTATGTGTTACCATTCAGCACTCCGGAATCAAGAACCACTGAGTTTCAAGCACATAGGTCTGGGAGCTAGATAAGCCAACGCCAACAATTCCCGGATGTTTCCGCCCACCTTGTATAAGGAATGAAATATTATCGGAGCAATGACATACCATACGTTTAGACCATATAGCTCACTCGAATTGGTACTCCGCGCAGTTGAAACAGTGTTCCGTTACACTGAGATATAGTATTCCCTTCCTCGCATTTTTTTTGGTCGGTTCATCAAAACGGCACGTTGACTTATTAAAATTTGTCAAGGGAATACATTCGAAATAGTGTACTTGATGTGTTTAAAATGCTGCGAGTCCTTAGAGTTTCGTCTCGTGTAGACAACGGTGATTTATTTTCATCTTTGGAAGTTGGAGTTATGAACATGGCGGTCACCTTGTTGACAACACTCCACCGCGTCACATACGTAGTTTCTCCGGTACTTGGTACACTCGTCATACTGTTTGGTAAGTTACTTTTTTCCTTTCTGTAAAAATTTTGCACAATTATATTAATGCAAACTACACATTTGACTTTTCTTTTAACTGTACATGTTCTTTGTTTTTGCGAACCCCTCTGGGGCAGCCTATTAGTCCTCTGTGTATACCTGACGTTCTCACTGACTGTCAGTTGTACATTAACGTTGCTTAAGGGGAATTACGGCCTGAAATCCCCCAAAATTCATGTTTTAGATTGTTTATACCTATACTACTTCAAAGGTCTGGTTGAAAGGAAACAAACTTGATGTCTTACCGTTCCCGAGAAAAGTCGAAAAAAACCCTGCTTGTTCACATCGGACGCGACGGACATTTTGTGGCATGCCAATACACATTTCAAGTCGTACGTGTCTATTCGATGCAGCGTACACATTGTGTGTGATACATAATACCTACAACACAAATACACAAATGTTGTTTCTTACACGTCCGCATAATGCGAACCACTGTGCGGTTGGATCACAACTATAGCACCCAACAGCTCGAGTTTTCTGCGACAAAATTGTGACCCCCGAAATGCGTTCTTGCATGGTTCCCGCACGAATAACACAAAAACTCCAAGTTTTTAAATGATGGTTGTGTGGACGTTCATATTGTACTTTTAAGTGCTCTTTCTCTTTAATATCATTCGTTTAAAACGTATTTTGTAGCCCAACTGGGCGCATTCTAGGCCATATTTTCCCTTTAAGCCACACCTTAGCCCCAAAAGTTTTGATATACAGGGTGTCTTAAAAAAACCCCGAATCCTCCAAGCCCCCTCTTTTTCACAGTTTAAAAAAGAATACATCGCAAATATCGATAAATAATTTGAGAGTTCGTTTCATTAGCTTTTCAAAACCGAAAAAATCTTTCCAATCGGGTAATTATTTTATTGAGTTATGGCCAATTGAATACAGGTACGTCTTTTTCGTTTTGTCGACGGCGACTGATATTTTGACTGCCGCAATAAGAATACGGGCCGAAACTGGCATCTGTGAAAAAGGCTAGCAAGTAGAGGGCAGGGACAGGGCAGTAAACATCTAAGAAGTTAAAGGGGCACTAGGTCCTGAAATCCCCGAAAATGTCATGTTTTGGATTCGGTTTACTTAGCCTATTTCAAACATCTGGTTGAAAGGAAACCAACCTTATGTCTTACCGTTCCCGAGAAAATACTAAAAAAACCCGCCTGTTTACATCGGCCACAACGGAGCACGAATACGTTTTTCGTGTCGTTCTCAGTGTACGATATACACGTTGTGTGTCTCGGGAACAGCGGTGACCAATCACCAATGCAAAAAAGTGGTTTCTTTTTTAACATTAGAAAAAGTGTATTTTTGTCTTCCCCGAATTCTGAGCGGAATTTGATTTTTAAAATGGTTCTAGTAGCAGAAATCATTGATGTGACGAGATTATCAACAGAAAACTTGGAGGAAGTTTAGAGACCCTAGCTAAAGAGACCTTTTTTCCGAACAATAGGTGTTCTGCCAGGGATGGTATACGGACACGCATGCTGGATTGGTCAAGAGCCCGACCTTGCGTCCAATCAGCTTCGGTGGGCGTTACCTGCAGCTGGGGAGGCTAGCTGCCAGTGCACGGATATGAAACTGGGCGGGGTCAACCTGTTCCAGCCCCGGCGACCGTTGCATGTGCAGCATTTTGATGCGCCACTTGGGTTACATGCAGTCAAGAAGGCACTCAACTGCACTGCGAAAGAAGGTGGGTTTTAACGATGTGCAATTTATGCATCACTGCTCTATCTGGAATATTGCCGTACTAATTTAAAAAGGAAAGATTATTAATTGTGCGCACTTGCGCATACACAGAAAATAAACAGGCAGCGGGTACTCATCTTTAATGTCCAAGTGAGATATTACGAAGATCCACAACCAAAGGTCCTGTGCAAACTCAAACATTGACTTTCCACCCAATGTTAGGGACCAGACTACTCCGCACTTTATATCCAACTGAATGCAAATGACTTCATAGCACACAAATTAGTGGCAGCGTAGGCCTACTACTCGATATCACAAGGACGAGGTTGAAATAAAAGTATCACTGCCTCTGAAAGTGTTCGTGTCTGATCTCATGTTCGTGTCTAATCTCATCTTTATTGACAGTGTGTGTAGCTGAAGGACCTCTTGGTATGGGGGATCGTCGTATACATAATGACCACATCACGGCCTCCTCGCAATCTAACTTGTTCAACCACGCACCCTGGAAGGCTCGCCTTACAACTGACGGTAACTGTTGGCCTATATAGTTGAGTTACTAGCGGGATGCCGCTCCGTGCGGCACCCGCTCGATGGGTGGAGTCGTGTAGCCGATACTACATGTATTGTGTATCGTAACAATAACTTGATATGAAATTCACTATTAAAGGAATGTATTAAAGTACTGCCGTGTAACCTTTAGATTACTACGCGTAGCTACGGTAAGCTTTGTTGTCGGACCTATACAGCGTGGCGTATCGTCATCAGACCCTCAAAAGCTACGCGATCCTTACAACTGACCTTACAACTTACAATCGCCTTACAACTGACGGTAACTATTAACCTGTCTGAGTTATGGCGGACAAAATAGGAGGGCGCTGTTTGATTTGGGTACACGCTCTTGTACTTGTATCCTTAAATAGGCTAAATAGGCTAACTAGGCTATCATCAACTTCCTCAAGTCCCTTTACCACTATATCGCTGTTAAACTCAAGGGTGTCAGTTTACTGAGGATGTTTAAGCCCAAATTATGAAAAAGGATTTCAAAATGGCACCCCAAGAACCACAAATGCGTACAATGTGATAACTTTCTTGAGATTAAGCGGACACAGATAGGACGCTATTTGAAAATGGTAAATTTGGTTCAGTAAAAAGAGACTGCGCGCCCACTCAACGCCCCCATTTGACCAAGAATTCCGCGTTGAAATGCACGTGGTAAAATAAGACCTTTCTGTAATCGATTCGCATCATTCGTTTTGTACAGGCACCTTCTCTGTGTGGTGTAACAATCCTAGGACGGACCCGGCCCCGTGGATACAGGTGGACTTTGCACGTGACCTCTACGTCACTGGTCTGGTCATCCAAGGGCGGTCCTTGTACAACCAGTACGTCATGAGCTACGAGTTGGCACTGAGCATGGACGGAGAGATTTGGCAGCCCCTGACTAATGCTGACGGGACGGCCAGGAGGGTATGTAGAAAACTGATCAGGCTTGGCTGGTAAACGTTAAATAATTGGTTCGCGTATTTCAGATAAACTATTTCCAATTGATGGTAATAAACCCTCATTCAATAATACCTGAGACAGTTTACCCATTCCCAATGGTCGAGAGCCCATCACGTGGCCGGTCTTACACGGATGATAAAGACATGGCTGGCTGGTCATCTTAAACACTTTTCCAGTGTCAAATGCAATTTGGACTTCTATGAAATCTAGTGCCTTTTACCGTTTTATTGGTTGATCGTTCGCAATCCTCACGTAGGCATGCGCAATAGGCCGACTACTATATAGTGAGTCAGTATTTCATAGTCCTAGATTCACAACGCACTCACCACAGCTGCATCTGCGCGTCATCGCGCAGTGCGCGCGACACGCGCGCCAATCTCTATAAAAGGAGTTACTCGCGAGCTAGACACCCTTTTATATAGCTAGAGGGGTGTTTCGAAATCCAGAAAGTAAAAATTGTTGAACAAACTCGTTTGAAATTGAAAACTTTTGACTTGTTTTGACTTTTGGACCGAAAAGTTTAGATTTCTTGGAATAAATATGTGCTCAGTCGGTGTTAAACACTACACGTTTAAGACTAGTTGGAGTCTGCAATGCCGATAATTACCCTCGGCTTCGCCTCGGGTGATAATAAGCATTCCAGTCTTAAACATAGTGTTTAACACCTCCCAATCACACATATTCCCTCAGTAACAGTATGCCACTATTGTTTTCGCACAGTACAGAGCGGGGTGCAGACCAGTAAATCGGTCCGAAATTACCTGCGCCGGCCAAATCACGATTTGCATGCCCTCAAAATCTTCGGTATTTGAGCATGCTGTGGGCCATGAACTTGAGGGTTTGTAAAAAATATGGGTGGAAACCGTGCACAAGACTTGGAGCTTGCAGTTCTGTGTAATTTTGATGTAATTTGGACCCTAAAAGCGCTCTACTTTGCAATGGAGTGTAGGCATCGTTTTTCAAAATGGCGATGGGCTTCAGGACTATTTTCAGGGGTGATCATCTTCAGATGGAAATTTCTCCTAAAAGTCATCAGTTGACCCCCCAAAAATTGAAAAGAAAATGAAAGATGATGAAATAAGCTTTAATTTGATGTGTGTCTCGAACACCTTGGAGAGTTGTGAGTATTTTCCCCGAATTTTTGAAGTGGGAGCATTTACCATTGGGGTCTATGGAAGTTTATTTACTGGTCTGATAGGGTGCAGACCAGTAAATCGGTCCGAAATTACCTGCGCCGGCCAAATCACGATTTGCATGCCCTCAAAATCTTCGGTATTTGAGCATGCTGTGGGCCATGAACTTGAGGGTTTGTAAAAAATATGGGTGGAAACCGTGCACAGGACTTGGAGCTTGCAGTTCTGTGTAATTTTGATGTAATTTGGACCCTAAAAGCGCTCTACTTTGCAATGGAGTGTAGGCATCGTTTTTCAAAATGGCGATGGGCTTCAGGACTATTTTCAGGGGTGATCATCTTCAGATGGAAATTTCTCTTAAAAGTCATCAGTTGACCCCCGAAAATTGAAAAGAAAATGAAAGATGATGAAATAAGCTTTAATTTGATGTGTGTCTCGAACACCTTGGAGAGTTGTGAGTATTTTCCCCGAATTTTTGAAGTGGGAGCATTTACCATTGGGGTCTATGGAAGTTTATTTACTGGTCTGCTACCAGCGGTACTGTACTTAACGAACTTTGACCTTACTATTCACATTTTGTCGAGAGAGGGCGCACTAAAAATATACAATATACCTTTCTGCGCTTATTGGCAAACTGCATTTTTGCCAACCACGGCCTGCAAAACTATGGAAGGTCCAACACTGCAAAAATTAAGAAGAGTTATTACAGATCACCAAAATATTATTTGATACTTGAAAATACAACATTTTCAACAAGGCTACAAACTAATTCCTACAAATGCCTTTCTACTATGTGTTGATGGCGTTATGAAGACTTTTTTGGAAAAATATGTTGCCAACCACGGCTTCAATTTATGCGCTTACGGCAGCCCATACAAAATGGCGCCAATGTTTACCAACAAAACAAAGGCCTTTAACTTGGCTACTACAAAGTGTTAACTCCACAGGCGATGATACAACACTGTTCCCTCAAAATTGTTATTTGCACCGACAGTTCACCGGTAACGAAGACAGCGTCAACGTAGCAGCCACTGAGTTCGAGGTGATCCAGCGCACCCGATTCCTGCGCATTCTGTCAACAGAGTGCCACTCGAGATGCTGCATGCGTTTTGAGGTGATGGGCTGCGATCGCACGGAGCTGAACCCATAGGGCATCAGTTTTAGGAATTCGCATGAATTATTTAACAGAGCTGCGATAACTTGTTTTGCCCACATGTCATAGTTACACTCTAAAAAGTCCCGGTTCAGATTTTGACCCGGAATCCTGGGTTTTATGGGACCTGACACTTTTCCGGGTTAAAAATGACACTTTTCCGGGTTAAAAAATGACACTTTCCCGGGTCAACTAACACTTTTTCGGGTAACATTTCTTCGGTTCAAATAACCATTTTCCAGGCCACAATGACACTTTCCGGGTCAAAATATCACTTTTCCGGGTCAAATAACACTATTGCGGGTCATATTATACTTGCCCGGGTCAAAGTGACACTTTTCCGGCTCAAAATGACACTTTTCTGGGTCAAACTGACACATTTTTCCGGGTCAAATGACACTTCTCTGACTCATTTTCCGCGTCGTTTTGACCCGGGAAAGTGTCATTTTGACCCGGAAAGGTGTCAGACCCCATAGAGTGTACGTTCACGTGTACTATACATAGATCCTTAGTATTTCAGCCACCTTTGAGGTGCGTGTTTTTGTTTCACATACGCATCAAAAGACCACCTGTGCATTCATGTTGGTTAATTAATGTATCAGTAGATGTTTGGTTAATGCAAAGGCTGAATTGTTTTGTGCTTGGTTCATGTCTAGCAGCTCAGACAAAACTACGCACGTATCAGAAAAAATCCGCAGAGCGTTCTTTAAAGAAAGAAGCAAGAATAAGACTTTATTTTCTTTTGTGATCTTGTCTTTGAGTAAAGTTGGAAAAAGTTGGAAAAGTACCGATAACCGTTACTACAAAAAATCTCATTGAAAATGTCTAGCTCGCTAAATGAAGCTACACACGTTCTTCTTAAAAAGCTTATGAGGCTTTTTAATTTCAAAAGAAGGGTTCCTAACTGTAATCATCCTCACCACCCATTGCAAGGGAGCAAGTGTTGGATTAAATCTAATTTGCCTAAGATAAGATTTCGTTAAGAAGATATTTTAAAAGAATATGAGTAAGTGCCACGACATTAATGCTGCGGTAATGTTGCGTATAGCGCCCTCTATTATGTAGGCGCGGTCATCCGGGAGCTTCTTACCTTGCCTTGCTTAGTTTCCAGACCTATTCACTGATCTCTTAAGACAATCCTGGATAGCCCATTGGCTGTTAAAAGTGACGCCATTATTACCACTCCCATAATAATACAATTGTATTGTGAACAAATAATATCTCAATTTAACCGCAATCTTTACCTATTTTATTGTCAGCGCCAACCCGCACTGGCCCTCATGTATCGCAGTCAAAATGTACCTTAACATGGAAGGTTCTGGACAAACCATACGTTGTTGGAAAGCTGATGAGTAGGCAAACAAGCTGGGAAATAGGCAAGTCTCGAGACCCAAGACCTTTGGAGAAAATGCCAAATGTATTACATGATGCCACTAGTTTAATTTTTGTGCAGTAAATCCCATAGCAAGGCCTGTCAGCGCCAACCCGCATGGCTCTCATGTATCGCAGTCTAAAGGTACCTTAAAATGGGAGGTTCTGGACATACTGTACGTTGTTGAAAAGCTGATGAGTAGGCCAACAATAGTAACAGTTAATTTGCGACTTAAATATATATATTTTTGGGTATATAACTCTGTTAAGAATTCTTTTTGGCCGGGACGCCAATGGTGATGTCCCCAATAAAAAAAAATGGGCGTAATTGCGCATAATTATGTACATATCCTTATGTGCATAATATTGTGTGCATACATACATTTTTGTAAGCGCCCTCTATGGCCAGATGGTGTCCAGCCACCTGTCCCCCCTATGGACCTTATTCACGAGAAGCCATTTTGGTTGTGTTCCCTGAATGTATTTTACAAATTGTGAACTGTTGAATTGGATGGCGCCAGACTCTTTTTCATTGTAGCCTCACTTTCCTTTTTTTTTTTTTTTTAAATGTGGCTTAAAAGATTAAGGTATGTTTACTCACAAATTCTAAATTATTCATCAGAAGAGACTGGTATTAATTTGTAAGTAACGTTAATGGCATTGTTTTCACTTCTTTTTGCGAGTTCCAAACGCGAAGATTTTACCTCGCTTTCATTTTAAAATGGCCGACTCGTGAATAAAGGTAATGTTGCCAAGAAATCGCCACCGCCGCTGGCGTGCAAATGGTCTGAGTAGATAGGTAATCCTGCCCATACCTGTGTAAAGACTAATCCGCGCACGGTTTCAATTCTATCACGATGGTCTCTTCAATGGTAACAGCATTGTGCTAGCTATTGTTTGAGATAACTCGTCACGAGGCATTTGCTTTGTGCACAATGGTTTCTCCATTGAAAGGTGGGGGGGGGGGAGAGATGGTGCGTGTACAGGGTGAGTCAAAAAAAGCGAAACCCAAATGTCGGAACTATTGTTTAAGTGAAGTTCTGCATGTAGCACTTTCAATATCTAGGATGTAAAAGCCCAATTCATAAGCTTTCTTTTAGTACAAGAATCATTCAAATCACTCATGTACTTTTCAAGTTACGGAATTTTAAACGCAACCACAGTTTTAAAGTTTTGTCCACGGATCACAAAAAACGATCACGAAAACAATTTACACACATCCCTATGTGATTCAAGTGTTTTCGTTTTGCTGAAAGAACACCTACCATTTTGTGATCCGTGGACAGAACTTTAAAATTCTGTAACTTAAAAATTACATAAGTGATTTGAATGATTCTTGTGCTAAAAGAAAGCTTATGAATTGGGCTTTTATATCCTAGATTTTGAGATTGCTACATGCAGAAATTCACTAAAACAATTGTCCCGACATTTGGGTTTCGATATTTTTTGTACTCACACTTACAGTGCTCACGTGCCAGGATTGTCTACAAGCACCTTGAGTGTTCTGAGATATATTTTCTTTGTACACTAATTATAGGCCACTTTTATGCATGGACGGCCATTACAAAAGGTTTTCTCCAACATCGACCATTTTTGTCACACTTATAAGCATTAGAGACTGATGTGCCTGAATTTTTGGTGGTTAATTCGTAACAAGTCGTTTCTTTAATACAGGTTGTTATTTTATGCAAAATATAATTTTAAGTTTTTGTTGACATCCTTATAGGCCTATAATATTGGAGTACCCGTTTCGTTACTATCTTTGCGAGAATACAGTTCTGATTAACTTTCAATATTACATGCCCGTTGTTGAGTACGCTCAAGTTGTTCATGACTGACGCCGGTCCTGTCTCATGACAAGGATAATATAGTGAAATTGATCGCCCAATAATTGCGCGGTGTTTATCTTTCTTTCATCGCAATCAAGGGTACTGGTCCATGTTAAATGATGCGTAGTGCTCGCGAAGGTAGCGAGCGCCGTTCAAAAAAGGCCTAATATTCGCGCGGTGTTTATCATTTTTTTCATCGCAAACAATTGTAAGGGCGCATGCTAAAAGATGCGCTGTCTTCCTAAAGGTCGCAAGCGTAGTAAAAAAAGTGTTTCAGTTATAAATAAGTTACGTGACCCTTTATTCAAATAACTGTTTATTCAAATCGCAGTTCTACACAATTTTCTGTGGAAAAGTAAATATTTCAAATTCATTTTGTACCAATATACCATGATTGTTCCCTTTACTAAAAATAATACAAAATACGATTCGTCGTTTTGCCTACGTATAGACCAATTATGAATGCATCACTGGATGCATGTTACCATGGCAATAATTCACACCTAAGTCACGTTGCGTGTAGAAACCCAATTGAGCGTGCAATGCCAACACAATGCGATGTTTCACCGAGTCTGTGAAATTGTACAAAATCGATTGGGTGTCTCAACACATCGCAGCCATGTTCTTGAACGTTTTCATTAACATATCGGGAAGCCTTTGGATTCTACATTGAGCCGCGCCGTCTATTTCACGCTTGGAATGTACCATTCAATTGTTTGGGATCTGTATAGGTGAAGGCGGACATCCGGGATTTTTTTTCACATTGGCTTATCTAGCTCCCAGACCTATGTTCTTGAATCTCAATGGTTCTTGAGTCTGGAGTGCTGAATGGTAACACATAACAATCGATGAAAACTGCTGTGCCAAATGAATAGATGTTTTCATCGGATGACGTCACTCCGCCCCCACCTATTGACTTTATATGAGAAACCCGTGCAACACCAGCAGTTGCCAATCATGCGTCAGTATACAAAGCTGGAGTTATAAGCCTAAATGCTGACTTGTTTACCGTTCGATTCTGTTGTTGACACCAGAAAACTCTTTATTAATTTTGTGTGTACAAAGGTCTGAAACAGGAATGATCCCAACCTTCTTCCCCAGGGTGTCGAACAGTACGCTCCCACCACTACCCGCTTTCTCACCTTGGTGTTGGATCCTTTGCATATCCAAAATGTTTTGGATACGTATGCACATGAGGAATAGTCTGGTGCCGTCCTGTTCTTTACATCAGCGTTTGTTTTTTGTATGTGATGTCTCTTGCAAAAGCAGAATCAAATCGTCGCGGCGTGAGTTACGAAAACACGATTTTTTTTTTCAAAGTTAAAATGTTGCAATCTTATCCAGTCAATATGCAGTATCACGTTTCATATTAATATGAGCAAATTTGAAAATGAAAGGATTATTTTTGAGAAGGTATATATTGAGGTAATAATTACAATGAACGCGAAAACACGTAATACACGTTGGAAATAACAACACCAAGTACACGATTTAATTCCATTTCAAGCTAATTGCGCTATCGAATCAGGATAAAGGTAGCAAGTTCCTGTCCCAAGGCTTACTATTGGAAACGAGTTTGAAAATAGAGTAAGCCATGGGGACGAGGTTGGAATGATCTGTGATCTGTTGGTAATTCTCCTTATTTAAAGGAAGACATTTCCAATTTTTCTCTTTGGCACTGGCACCGTTACGGCTTCTAGAATTTTACGGTAATGCTCAGCTCCTCTTTGTTCCCGTTACCTCAAAATTTAAGTCTGGAACAATTCTGCTGTTTTTTTGAAATTGTACTGCTTTTCTCGAATGCAAACCGAGGCATTTACTGGAAAGGAAAGGAAGTCTATGGCGGGAATAGATCGGGGCGGAGTGACGTCATCTGATTAAAACATCTATTCGTGTGCACACCTGATTTTATCGGTTGCTATGTGTTACCATTCAGCACTCCGGACTCAAGAACCACTGAGTTTCAAGCACATAGGTCTGGGAGCTAGATAAGCCAACGTCAACAGTTCCCGGATGCTTCCGCCCACCTTGTATAAGGAATGAAATATTATCCGCGCAGTTGAAACAGTGTTCCGTTATAGTATTCCCTTCCTCGCATTTTTTTGGTCGGTTCACCAAAACGGCACGTTGACTTATGTAAATTTGTCAAGGGAATACATTCGAAATAGTGTACTTGATGTGTTTAAAATGCTGCGAGTCCTTAGAGTTTCGTCTCGTGTAGACAACGGTGATTTATTTTCATCTTTGGAAGTTGGAGTTATGAACATGGCGGTCACCTTGTTGACAACACTCCACCGCGTCACATACGTAGTTTCTCCGGTACTTGGTACACTCGTCATACTGTTTGGTAAGTTGTTTTTTCTTTCTTGAAATATTTTGCACAATTATATCGATGCAAACTGTAAATCTTTGACTTTTCTCTCAACTGTACATGTTTTTTTGTTTTGCGAACCCCTCTGGGGCAGCCTGTTAGTCCTCTGTGTATACCTGACGTTCTCACTGACTGACAGTTGCTTAAAGGGGAATTACGGCCCGAAATCCCTCAAAAATTCATGTTTTGGATTGTTTATACTTATACTATTTCAAAGGTCTGGTTGAAAGGAAACACATCTGATGTCTTATCGTTCCCGAGAAAAGTCGAAAAAAAAAACCCGCTTGTTTACATCGGACGCGACGGACATTTTGTGGCATGCCAATACGCATTTCAAGTCGTGTCTATTCAATGCAGCCGCTTGCAGCGTACACATTGTGTGTGGTACATAATACCTACAACACAAATACACAAATGTTGTTTCTTACACGTCCGCATAATGCGAACCACTGTGCGGTTGGATCACAACTATAGCACCCAACAGCTCGAGTTTTCTGCGACAAAATTTTGACCCCCGAAATTCGTTCTTGCATGGTTCTTGCACGAATAAAAAAGAACCAAATAAAGAAAGAAAGAAACAGTAAAACATTAAAGAAAGTAAAACTAACCTCACGCAATTTGGGGGACAAATTGAAACAATCTGGAGGAGTTTTGCGTTCATGATACGGAAGTGTAATGTAAGAACTAAGTTGTCCGCAATTTGACGGACAAATTGCACTAATTGCATTATTTTGCAAAAATATTGCGTTATTTTACAATATTATCACATTTTCTCTCAATAAGTATTGCCCTCTTTCCGCAATACTGCGAAAAATGAAAAAATGCGGTAATATTGGAAAAACAGTGTTATTTTGCAATACTTCGTTATTTTGCAATACTATTTTGCAAAAATATAGCGTTATTTTGCAATACTATTGCATTATTTAACAATATTATCACATTTGTTTCGTAATGTTGCTTTATTGCCGCTTAATGCGCCGCAGCACCTAGTAAACCATTATTAAGGTGCTACATAATGGTTCTCATATTTCTCATGTACTTCATTACCTGTCTCTAATAATAGACATAATTTCTAGCGCCTTGAGTATCTTATTATTGGTAGATACGTGCGCTATATAAGACTTCGGTATTAAGACTTCGGTATTATTTTGTCAGCAATATTGCCAAAAATTAAAACAAATGTGATAATGCAAAATTACACGCGATATGTTATTGCAAAATAATGCAATAGTATTGCAAAATTACATACGATAGTCTTGCTAAACATGCTATCTGAGGATTGAAAATAACTTTTGCGTTACTTCACAATACTATTGCTCTTTTTCGCAAAGTTTTTGCATTAGTTCGCAAAATTACTGAATTATCTCGCCAAACTACATGTATTGCGTTATTTTTAAAAACTATTGCGTTATTTTTTTTTTCGCTTTCAAGACCTGGCACGAACCGGCTTCCGTGTTTATTAAATAATAAATATAGAGAATTAAAAATATTGCCTTCGCTATCTTTAAAGAACTACAAGTGCTTGACGAGAATGTTGTGCTTTTTACCGCTGACCGATATAGCTCAGCGTGATTTTCGCGTGGGGCTGCCGGGTTTTTTTCGCGCTATCTCCGGTCAAAGTGACCTTCAGTTGCACGGTGAAATCATTTGTGCCGGCGTGGATGGATTTCTCCCGACCTCGTGTGCACGGGACAAAATCATTTCTTACAGTTTTTATTTTGTACCCCCCCCCCCCCAAATGAAGATTCTTGTAGCTAAACATCATATGAAGTCCCCCAAAAGACCTAGCCAAAAATAAAGGATACAATTCTGCAAAGATTAAAAACAATGACAATATTCAAAAGCAAAAATGTTATAGTAGTCCCCAAATTTCACATGGAAAAAAATTAACGTGCTAAGAAAACAATATGTGGTTGAATAAAAATAGCAATTTATATGGATGCTACAAATTACATGAAGTCCCACCTAATACATGTAGACGTAGCTAAAATTCACATGTAGGCCTAAACAAAAGAATTACACATGAATACCAAAAATGTAGCTTTATACTGCTACAATAACTTCCGGGCTGATGACGTCATGATTCTGAATTCATGACATTGACCTTCCGGTAGCCCCGGAAGTAAAGGTCAAGCGACTTTTTACGTACACGACAACAATGTCAATCAATTTAGTCTTATTACAAAGTACGATCATGATTGATCGTTTTGTTCAAGAGTTATAAGAGAAGGAATTTGGTCATTTTTTCAACTAAAATCGCGGGGAATTTGGTACCCGATGACGTCATCATGACGTCAGAGTAATATGCACACCTTGGGATCAAGGTGCGCATTTAGAAGGAAAGCCGCGGAAACTTATGATCCAGAAAAAAATATAAAGGAAGAAAAATTCTAACAATTTTAAAACGGTGATCGGGTCGTACCCGATCAATGAACAATGAAGGCCTTACGAAGGTACTACCAAAAACGGTATCATTGAGGCATCTCCAACGGCATCACACGACCAAAGTAATCCACCGTGCAGTAATGAAGGGCGTCCATCAGTTGTATATTAACCTATATCACCCTTCCCCTTGTATTATTTTCCTCAGTTTAAACATTTCATTTACATACGAGCCTGAAGCTGTTGGTATTGAAACGGAACACCAATCAACCGAAAATTTAAGTCACAGTCCCCTTAAAATAAAGTTAAACATACTTCATGAATCGTTCATTACATCAACCCATTTTAGTTCGTATAGCGGCGAAACGTGGGGTTCAACTCGAAGGAGTGGGGGGCTCCCGGGTTCATTTTGATTGGAGGGGGAGCATTACATGGCTTTTAACACTAGAAAAAGTTGATTTTGCCTTCCCCGAATTCCGAGCGGAATTTGGGATTTGTTAAATGTGTCGATAGCAGATATGATTAATGTGACGAGATTATCAACACAAAACTCGGAGGAAGTTTTTGAGACCATAGCTATAAGACCCTTTTTTCGAACAATAGGTGTTCTGCCAGGGATGATATACGGACACGCATGCTGGATTGGTCAAGAGCCCGACCTTGCGTCCAATCAGCTTCGGTGGGCGTTACCTGCAGCTGGGGAGGCTAGCTGCCAGTGCACGGATATGAAACTTGGCGGGGTCAACCTGTTCCAGCCCCGGCGACCGTTGCATGTGCAGTATTTTGATGCGCCACTTGGGTTACATGCAGTCAAGAAGGCACTCAACTGCACTGCGAAAGAAGGTGGGTATCAACGATGTGCAATTTATACAACGCTGTTCTGTCTGGAATATTCCTGTACTTAAAGGAAATATAATGAGCACATGCGCATACACAGAAAACAAACAGGCAGCGGGTGCGCATCTTAAATGTGCAAGTGAGGCTATTATCAAGATCAACAACCACAGATCCTGTGCAAACTTGCACATTGACTTCCCACCCAATATAAGGGACCAGACTATTCTGCACTTAATATCCAACCTAATGCAAATGACTCCACAGCAAGGCGAGAGAGCAGTTAGTGGCAGAGTACTGCGCGATAGCACGGGGACAAGGTTGAGGCGTATAACTGTACGGAAAATGTTGATTATTTTTGTGTATGGTCTTATCTTGATTGACAGTGTGTGTAGCTGAAGGGCCTCTTGGTATGGGGGATAGTCGTATACCTGATGATCACATCACGGCCTCTTCCCAATATAACTGGGTGGACCACGCACCTTGGAAGGCTCGCCTCACAACTAGTGGTAAGTATCAAAGAGTTGGAACGGATTGATATATTTCCGGGGGGGGGGGGGGGGGGGGTTACATACATACGTATTGCGGTTATAACAATAGAGGGCGCCTTAAATTACGTCACTACGATCCTCATAGCGGAAGACAACCGCACCCTATTATGTGCTTCCTTTTGGTAGGGCAGTGGATTCGAATATTATTTGATACTTTCCAAAAAAATTACAATCTTTTCACCGTACCGCCGGCTAGTGTTCACGCAAAGCGTCATTTTTAAGAAACTAGCAGGACGCGGCACCCGCTACAGGGGCGGATCCAGAAATTTTCGCAGGCGGGGGGGGGGGGGGGGGGGTTTAATCAGCAAAAAAATCTGAAAATGTACACATTTTTTTTTTCTCCGGACACTTGGGGGGGGGGGGAGGTACCATATTTCAATAGGGGCCGCTGTTCAAATTCTATGATTATTAACACTAGATTACAGAATGGTGTACCGTAATTTGAACAGGGGGACATTATAACAGTATAATTTTTTGGGGGTGTAAGGGGGGGGGGGTTCGACTTATTTTATTTTAGGTATTTGTATGATAATTTTTTTTGACAGAGTTGGGGGGGGGGGTTGACACCCAAAAAAACCCTCTGGATCCGCGCCTGCCGGCTAGCTGGGTGTAGCCCTCAATTGACGTATATTTGAGAAGGGTTCTTTTCGTCAGGTTTCGAAATGCATATCCATTTCGTACGAATTACGATCGACCGTTTAAGGGTTAACTAATGTACATGTAGTACTTTGACCCCATTTTACATTTTGATCCCAAGTGGGCGTGGTCAATCTTGGTAAAGCAATTTTGCCACATTTGTCATCATCAACGTTATGTTTTGCGTAATAGCGATACGTTTTGGAGTGTTTTCATAGAGGTAATGTTGTAATATTTAACTGTTGAAAGTCTTAAAGAAACAAAGTTGCCAAAAAAAAGAAAAGAAAAGAAGCAAAACAAACAAATAAATCATTTTTCTCACGATCCAACTGTGACTTCAGAGGACAGGGAAGTCGAAGCATAGGACCTGCATCCACTGGGCACTTCTCAATTAATCCTTGCATTTGGTGCTTTCGCACACTCCTTGGGCCTTTTACAAAAAACCGTGACACACAGACATCAGACAGAGAGACAGAGAGACAACGTAGGATCCTTTGATATTCGCTCCGTTCACAAGTACCCCCTCAACGGCACAGGAAGTACAGTGAGGGTTTACCGACCGACGCCATCTTGCCTGACTGCAATTCATTTCCGCGAAGCGCGGCCACTTCGTGTACATAGTACAAATCTCCTGATGTACGTGCGTCACACACAAGGAACGGTGCGCGTCAACCAGCGAAAAGTCCCGCCCATGGGACGTCGTTGTTAGGTAAAAGGGTGCCCTCTTGTTAGCGCACGGAGCTCATAGGATGTAGGCCCAATCTCATGGCTGTCCTTTCCGCAAGATGCAAAATGTATTCTTTTCAAAGCGGTCTTTTATTAATAATGCATCGTTCGTTGTTTAGGTCATTCCGCATGGTGTTCCAAACAAGCAGTAGACCCGACACCGTGGATACAGGTGGACTTCTCACGTGACCTCTACGTCACTGGTCTGGTCACCCAGGGGCGAGACATACAGTACGATCAGTACGTGAAGAGTTACGAAGTGGCATTCAGCGGGGACGGCCAAGTCTGGCGACCCGTAACCAATGCAAGCGGGACGGCCATAAAGGTTTGTGGATTAATATTTGTATAGGTTTTTTCCGGCCAATTTCATGAAATGTTCATTCACTTCTGAAAATCAGTCTTTTGTTTTCGTCTGAATTATTTTGAATGCCCGTCTTCAATCCCATTTCAATTCAACCATTTACGGTACCGTGTGAATTCATTTACGTCAGCATACCTTTTCTAAATTGATTTCAGGTACAGCTAATTTGATTGATGGTTAATGACAAAGAAACCCCTAACTGTATCTGGTGCCGATGGCATTAAACTAAAAGTGAAATAGAATGGTGAATGTTTGATATCGCCCTCTAAAAGCGAAAAAGAAGTCTTGTAAACGAATCTGAATGGACATAAACGAAAGGTGCTGCTCAATCACTGAACTGATTGAACTGAAATGGAATCGAATGCTCTAGTAGCGAAAATGAAACGCGTGTTCAGAACGATTCTGAAATTCAGTCGAAAATGAATGACCGATTTTCAGAAGTGAATGAACATTTTAGGAAATTGGCCGGGAAACCTATATTAAGAAAAAAACATGATTTCGACCAGGCTTGTTATTATTGGCTACAGGAGGAAATATAATCACACTTCTCGATCCTGGATATGGGATAGAAATACTACGTGTAGAAAGAAGGTCATAGCCCCTACTTTTGATTCCAAATAACTCTGTTGTTTACCAATGGAATTCAACCAAAATGTCAGATCATGTGAAGAAGGCATGGCAAATTTTATGGAGCGAGTTTCATCAGCTGTGTGCAAGAGGGTGAAATTTAAAGGCTATGCGAAAAAAATACTTACTTTCAGAAAACCGATATAGGGCTGGAGACGGTGGCGGACTAGGCGCGTGCTGCGGCGGGCGGGGGTTGGGGGGGGGGGGGGGGTGACAACAGATTTGCCGACTGACCCCTTCCTTCACATTAACACAGTTTGAACAGACTTGACATTGAAATTCACATACTGGCACCCATATTTAAGACCAGGAGCCAGAGCCGTGCTCTCTAATAATAATAACAACAATATGGGTCATTTGGGAGACATCCCCAAAGGCTTGTGCACACATTAAAAAAAAGCCCTAACCTTAACCCCAATTTTACCTTATCCTACCCCACGAATTTGGGTGTATTTATGTTTTGGACCACGAACAATCGATCTAGCCTATTTGCGGCACTTAAATGTTGCCTCTAAACAGGAGCTGAGGCATTAGGGAAACCTCGAAATGTCTACCTAATGTCCCGGTGTCTCCCTATTAAAGGTATGAACAATGACGAAAAACTGTCCCACTAAGGTTACAGGGGTGATGTGGTGCTTATATAGCGATTTACATACAACCCTCTCACGCAGCAACGGACAATAGGTGGCGCTATTCGTTAAGGCATACTTTGCCGACAGAACAACTATTTTGTTAACAGTGAATAAAGGGGGGTGGGGGGGGGGGTAGGAGAGTGTCACCCCTCCCTCCCTCCTAGCCACGTCCGTGAATAGCCGTGTCCGAAGTACATGGCTTCGGCTGGATATAACACACGGGTCAATGAGAAGCGGCTGCAGCCGCTTCTAATGGGCTCCGTGCGCCAACGAAAGAGGGCGCCCTTTTACCTAGCAACGACGTCCCATGGGCGGGACATTTCGCTGGTTGACGCGCACCGTTCCTTGTGTGTGACGCATGTACACCAGGGGATTTGTACTATGTACACGCAGTGGCCGCGCTTCGCGGCAAATGAATTGCATGTCAGGCAAGATGGCGTCGGTCGGTCACCCCCAACTGTACCTTCTTTGCCGGTAAGGGGGTACTCCAAACGAGTACCATGGCGTGATCGATGTTGATGCAGATGCAGCAACTCGAGAGTGGCTTCTCAGGAAGCACCCAGAGATTTAACTACTTTTTTTTTGGTTTCACACGCAAGAAGTAGGGTACTTGTGAACGGAGCGGATATAGGCGCGTGTGTAATTTCAACCCGTAGCCATGTAATTCCGACACGGATCAACTTTATAGTTACTGTGCCTTTTCCCTTTCACTCAAAATCATGCTTGCTTGCAATTGACAGTTCGCTGGTAACACCGACAGGGTCCAACGAACAACTACCAAGTTCGATGATGTCCTGCGCACAAGATTCCTGCGCATTGTACCCAAAGAATGGAATAACGGATGCTGCATGAGTTTCGAGGTGATGGGCTGCAACCGTACCGAGTTGAAACCGTAGGACACCCTCGACTACATCAGTGGGTGGGAACTTACAATCGCATCAAATATTTCAAATCATTTAGAATCATCTGCTTTACATGCATTTTGTTTGTTTCCAATAACACCACTCAAAATTCCAAAGAGGAATGTTTAAAACCCAACCTGTTGAACTTTAGGTTCAGTGGATATTACACTTTTCGAGAAAAAAGAAAAAGAAAAACCATGCACAACCTTTTGATCACGAAACACGATGTCGTAAATAGCACTCCTTATTTCCACAAATTAGTCTCACTTATTGACTGATCGTTGAAAATTACGTACATTTTGGTGTTTCTTCGAAATGACAGCAAGCCAGACGGAACAATTTCAGGAGGTTTTCCCGGCCAATTTCCTATAATGTTCATTCGCTTCTAAAAATCGGTCATCCATTTTCGTCTGAATTTGAGAATCGCAGCTCTGAACACGCGTTTCCTTTTTCGCTACTAGAGCATTCGATTGAGCAGCAACTTTCTATTTAACTTTTAGTTTAATGCCATCAGCACCAAATACAATAATTAGGGGTTTCTTTTTCATTAACCGTCAATCAAATTAGCTGTACCTTAAATCAATTAAGAAAAGGTATACGTGCGTAAATGAATGCACACGTAACTTAATTGGCCGTCTGTATCTCACAATTCCGTTGAATTGAAATGGGTTTAAAGGAAATTGGGCGGGAAAACCTATACCATCAAGATGTTTAATCCAAGTAAGCTTTTTGAAAATAATTCGGTGGGTTATACTTTGGGATACACGCCATATATGCCTTTTACACAGCTGCAACACCAATACAATCTCGTGTATATATTACATTTGATCAGGTTATCTAAAACAACACAAACACTTTATGAGAAAATTCCTGAAGAAAAAAATACTACTGACGAAAATCACTCATTTTAAAAAGTAGAAATGTATAGATGGCACAGACATATTTCTATTATTCTCCTCTCTAGGAATACTCAAGGGGGTTTCGTTTAAAAAGGCAATATACTCCTTCACCCACTTGCATTAAAAAATGCTTCGCAAGATGACGTGGAAGACGTCTAAATAAAACAATTATAAACATATAATTTTTTCCAAATAACATTTCCTTTCCAAACAAAATTATATCATATGTTTTGATACGAATCTATTTTATCATAAACAAAACAATTAATGGTCGAACCAATAGCTCCCACCCCATTCTTTATCTCTTTGTACAGTTTGCAGCGGCCAACGAGCTATCCAGAATTTTCACATGGACATCAGTGTGCCAATTATTACGCTCTATATAAAACATTCGTAACAGTAACATTGCGCAGCGCCATCTATAGTCCTAGTTGGCAATATTGACTCATTTCCGACGGTAGAGAGCGCTATTGTACTTAGTTGTGGATAAGTTGTAGATAACAGTTTGCTGTAATATTTGCTGTCAATATTGTAATTTAATGCATTAAAACCTTGTTGTTTGTGTGCAGTGATATGTATTAACCAATGCATTCCATTTTAGGCTTTTTAACTGTCACCAATGATATAGGACGCAGATTTTGAAGGTGTTTTCCACAAATGTCTGTGTGTTTTATATGCACCCTCTTCATTTCAAAACGCTGTGCTTGGTAGGTATGGACGGCCATTTTTTGCATGTTAATTCCTATATTGTAGTTGGCAAAATGTATACCCGAAATTGCACATTTACGCCTTCAGTATTTCAGAGAAAGACCCCGATACTTTGAAGTAGGTATTGTAGAATTAGTTGGTGTGTTTTCTTCAATATGTAGCTGTTCGCGGCTGATTTTATGGAGTAATTATTTGTTTGAAATGGTGGTCATCCAGGGATTTTAGTTGGCAAATTTAAAGCAAAACCTACGCAGAATCAAAAAAAAATGGCGGGCCGTGGAAAGCCATTTGGTGCGTTCGAGCAGCTCACCCGGATCGACTCGGGTAAAGGCAGACGGGTTATCCATGACAGCCGGGCTAATCAAACGCTCAACCGCGGGCCATCACGATCCTAACGTTACGCTCGTAGCAACGGCCGTCATGGCCGTAGCCACTGATTAAACGCCCGTCTCGGATTGGGTTTGGTTTGAGATTTAGTGCTTTTCAGTCAATTGCAAAAACTCAAGAAAGTTTGGCTGGAATTATAGCCTCAAAAGTCGCAATGAACTCAATAAATGATTACTTTCAGACTTCAAATAAAGTAAATTTTTAAGTCCACTTGAGATTTCCGCTGTCCGGCTGTCATATTTTGTCCGTTTCTTGGAATGAACAACGCATGCGTGTGACGTATTTTTACCACTGACTCTGCTCCACGAGCAGGGTCTGTGGCAGCTGACCCGGGTGAGCCCCGAGAATGACGTCAGAGCTAATCGAACGGCACGGGGCTGACCCGTGTCGACCCGGGTGAGCTAAACGAACGCACCCATTATAAGTCTGATACCGGCCAGCGTGTCGATTGTCAGATTGACCTATGACGTAGGGGTCAACCCAATAAGGTGACGCACGAGTGTGTATAGGACAAATAGGCCAATCAATCTGGGAGGCGGCACAGCCAAAAAGCATAGCAACCAATAAGATATCAGAAGCACTCGTGTACTATGAGGTCAACGGTCAATGACGTAGCTAGCTTCTCAATGTCAATCTATAACACAAATAGCGCCTCATATCGGACACTTGCTAAATTAATGTGAAATGGTGAAGATTTGCTGGAGGCAGGCACATATAGACTGGTCTCTACTTTTTAATTAATGTGTGCATGTATATATTTTTTTCGTGGACGGCGCACATTTTTAATGCTGTAAAATTGTATTGCTGTTAAAATGTATCTCAGTCAATGCCATTGAAGTGTTTAAAAACCAAATATTTTGGCATACACAGGCGCGGATCCGGGGGGGGGGGGTAAACCCCCTCCCCTCCTCCCTCTCCTCGCCCCTCCTACTTTCACTTGGTGTCAATCAAGTTGTGTATTCGAGATTTTAGAGACCAAAGCACATTAGTGGCAAATAATTGCAATTAATAACTATTTTGTTTGTGTCTAAGATTTTATGAAAACTAATCTGTACCGAATAGGCCATACTTTTGAGCACGTGAGGGCGCTGTTTTACACAGGCGGATATGAGGGGGGGGGGGCGGGGTTAGGGGTATAAAGGAAACAGGCAAATCATGCAGAAAAAGTAGCACATGCCTGCTAACCACCCCTTGAAAGCTAACCCCCCTTTTAGCCAAAGGTGGCTTCGCCCCTGTTTTACTAATTTTTTGCGGGGGGGGGGGGTGTTACAATTCCTACTGGACAACCCCCGTTTATTATTGCAGTTTAGTACCTTTAGTTATCTCTAAAAATTAAATATTGGCGACTTACGTCAACAGGCGCGGAACAGGGGGGGGGGGGGGTCGAAACTCCCTGCTCTGATACCAAACAAAATTATAACAATTATAGTAATACTAATGACGTATATGTCCGCCTGTCCGCAACAATCGGACATACACAAATCTGACGGGCCTGACCTCCCCCTGCAAACATTTCTTGGATCCGCCCCAGTCAATAACCTTGGATGCAGTCTGTTTATAACCCCAAATAACGTCGTTATATACCGCCCTCGTTCGTTCAAAACTAAGGCCTAACATTTTTTTTTGCTCGTTGCAGCTACATAACCGATGCAGTCCGTGCTATCATGTTACATAGCGCCCTCAAGTCTATTGAATGAAAAATACCGAAAACTCTGCCTGTTCAGACAATTTCGTTTTTTTTTCATCAAAGTCTGATCACTATGAATCAAAGTCTGATCACGTGTCGTTTTTATTTACTACATTTTCATGACAGATAAAGATTTTTTTAAGCATCAAAATCCAAAGCTTTAGTTCTGTCTTTTCCAGAGAGATACTTTATGTACCAATGTCCTAATGCAACATTGGCTAGGCAGCGAGAGCCATGGCTTTGATTATGAAGGTTATTTGAAATTGGTGTACAGAGTTTTCGGATAGTTATGTGAAATTTGGATAAAAAATGAGATAACACAAATTCATGTCTGGTCGTAAGAATCCGCTGTAAGTAATTTGCTGCATGAGGTGTTGTATCAATTAGATATTTAATTTTCACTGGCAAAAATACTGCCCAGGTTATCTCATTATTTATATAGCAAAGCCTGTCTAATTTTATTTCCCTTTTGGGAAAGTTCGCCACAGAAACTTATTCTTTTTGGCAAAGTATAAGCCATAGAAACTTAATCTTTTACGGAAAGTTAGCCACTGAAATCATTCAATTTATTATTCAATTAACTAATCTGGCACTGTGTTTGTAATTCATTGTATTTGTAAACATGTTTGTAGTGATTTTTTAATTGAATGCAGGACCCCAATGGAAACCAGTTTTGAACTGTTTGGGCATACCCTAGGTAAAGAAATGTAATAAATAAATAAATATCAAAATATTCATTAGAAGAGAAAGGAGCTTTTGTACATGACAAAGTCAGTTTTGTTCTTCGCAGTAAAAATAAAAAAACACCTGCTTAATTCAACACACCTGTCTGAGGTTACTAATTGCCAGACCCCAACTCTCTTAGTTCTCAGAGAAAACAAAACAAAAACGGCGCGACCTTGTGAGAACGGGACGGCACTTTATTAGCTTCAGCCGGCGGACGGAAAGGAGCCGAATCTTATAGGAGGCATCGGAGGGGTGTTGGGAAAAGATTGTCAATTACCTCGTTAGCAGTAACATCCTTTGACTTGAGGTCCCCCGGTAATTATGTATTGATGGTTTTCACCAAGGGCTACCTGATTTAGAAATATCTATTTATATAATATACTAGCATTGAGCTGATGTGGATTTCCCTGGTAGACATTCATCTCGCACAATTAGTGGGGGAGATATGAAAACATTTTGAGGAATTGTTCACTTCGATGATAAAAGCATGGCATTTGGCACACAGTCAGAGTACGGCTTAAGAAACATATTTGGCTATACAGGTGAGTCAAAAAAAAAGCGAAACCAAAATGTCGGGACGATTGTTT